GGATCTGGGCAGGTCAGGATGTCAGAAACTGGAATACTGTACACAGATACCAGAATTCATATGACAATAACCTACAGTGTCACTTTATGCAATTCTGGTGAGATACAGCTTCTCTTCACATCCCGCCTGACAGTTCCTCTCTGTCTGGCTCAATTCTGTTTCACTGCAGAGCCCAGGGAACTGTGATATATTTATACAAGCTCCAGGGGCCACTCAAGAGAATGCAGAGTGGCATGTGCGTGAGGAGAGCTCCAGGAACCCCCAGGAGCTTGTGAAGATGTTCCCTACAAGGCTTCCTGCTCTCCAAGGCACAGAGAGCCACAGCATGCTTGTCTCCTGCTGTAAGACAGCTTGCAAGCAGGGCTGTAGGAATGCCCATATGCAAGTCCCAAACCATACAGCTATGTTTCAACCTTGAGTATGAGCTCCAGAAAAACAAAAAGGAAAACTAATGCCATTTCCCCTGAGAAATTCCTGCCTCTGAAAATCAGAGCTGCCACATTACCGCTCAAGAAGAAAGGATGTTTTGGCTGGAGTCCAAATTATTAGAGCTTTATAGGCCAAAAGCAAACACATTAAAAGTTCCTGTAAGCCAGCTGGCAGGCAATTATTAAGCAGCTTATCACATTCCCCTCTATCTATAGTTTCTGAAAATAAAATTTATGAGGAAACTCTAGATGGCTTAATTGCAATTACCTAGTGTAGAGGTGAGAAAGGCCAGGAGTCAAGGAATGAGGGTTTTGCACTTTGGAGAAAAGGGCCCAGACACCACGGTAAGCATAATGCATTACCAGGATGAGAGGTCAGGGACACACCAGACCTGAGAAGCTTTGAAAAACTTCAGCCTATTTATCCCACCAAACAGCCACATTTCCTCTCATTTCTCTGCCCATGCTGACTCCAAGCCCCCTGTGCCTGGGAAGGCAGGAAGCCATGGTGTCAGTCCCCAGGATGACAGGGCAGCTTTGGTAACAGCCTGCACAGCAGCAGCACAGCGGGGCTGTGCCTGACCCCAGCAGAGCATGGCAGGGAAAGGGCCTCGGCTCCCGGCTCCTGCCTCCAGCTGGAGGGCAAGTGACAATGAGATCCTACACAACCAGCTAGGTCCAAAACAACTGGCCAATAAAGGGCTCAGCTGTGACGAGGAGCCCAACCCAACACTCAGAGGGACAGTATTTCCAAGATGGACTTGACTTCAGTGCAGCCATGTGACATTAGCCAACATTTCCATGCTGTCCTGTCTCCTTCCCATCTGTTCATGTCACTTATTAAATCAACACACGCTGAGGACTTTTGACCTTTAGGACAAGGCATTTGATTTCCCAGCAGCATCTAGCACTCAGTGCTTCAGTTTCAGACTGAACTAAATGCCCGGGCACCTTTAAAGGAGCGATAACGAAGCTCTGTGACATTTTCACAGGCGTGTAAATGTGCACACAGCAACAAGGCAGTGACCAGGCTGGCAAGGAGAGCCAGACGCTGCTTTGGGCTATGTGGGAAGCAATGCTCCCCCTTCACGCAAACAGACAATAAACTGAAGTGTAGCAGAACAAGGATGCTGTTGTCAAAGCCCATCCCACCCTGGATGGGAACAGGACAGGGTGTTACATGCAAACATATAAAAATACTGCAAATACAACATGGCCTTGAGCTCGGTTCAAATGCATACCTCACAGGATTTGGACTGACTACGGGGTCAAACACAAATCTAGGTCCCAAAGATTCTTATGAGGGCTGTGGAAAAGGGAATGTGTGAATAAGATAGCTTGTGAGCTGGGGACAATCTTCAGAGAAAAGTAGCCATGTGTTCAGGCTTGGCTTTAACTCTGAAATCAACCATTTTTTTTGCTGCCTGACCCTCAGCAAGTCACTTTGATTTTTTGCCATCAAGTCATGTTTACAGTGAACATTTTCCTATTTCCAGTAAAACACAGATGGGAACTGTGTCTCCTTTCATAACCTGTTTACGATGTGAGCTCTTGATGTCCAGTTGTGCAGTGCCACTCTATCAAGCCCTTTTAGCAAGATGCTTTATGGCTTTTTCCAGCTTCTTCTAGCCCCATTGCTTTTCCCCTCCCGCTCATCCCACCCCGCCATATCAAATGGCCAACATGAGCGCCTGGAAAAGCATTTGGCACTGCTTGAGTCCGACATTAAATGCATTCATTAAACAGACAGATGTTTCTCTTTTGAAATTGAGCACTCTGGCACAGTGCAATATTCATTCTGAGTTATGAAGAACCAGGCAGAGGTTAGAGAGATCACAAAGAGAAAAGAGAGACCTACACAAATCATCTTTTGTCATGTTCAGTAACATTTGGTAAGGAGTTTAGGACAACCAGCTTTTAATTCCAGTCTAAGTCGGCATGCTATAAACCACATGCACAGCATGCAAGTTTTACTAGCTAACTTGCACTTCTCTCCAGATGAGAGGAAACGGGGGCAAAAGCACAAAAAAACCCCCAAGCTTTGTGGCCTGTGTGGTGATAGACCAGCAAAGCAAGAGCTCGATTTTCTAGCGCTACCTGTGGGTGACAGGCAGTGCTGGAGGAAAATTTGTGCTTCAGGCTTTGCATTAACATAGTCACTTTTGGAGGGTGGGAGATAAAGAGCAGGAGAATACAACCTAAGAACAACTGCCAACATAGAAAAAAAAAATCTAATAATTTAGGCTGATCCAGGCCACGTTACAAATTCTTTATCCAAAAGGGCATTTTAAGTATCAGCTGTACTAAGCATACACATCCCTTTACCACGTCCAGCATTTTAGGCACTCCCTGCCCAAACACGCTGCAATGAGTGCCATCTCCTCATCCCTCCTTCCAATGCTCTGCCCCAACCCAGGCACCACAGCAGCGTCCCAGACAAGCAGAGCAAGAGCCATCGGGATGGGTCCCACTCAGCAGCAAGCAGGATGGCACCGCTGTGAATCAGGCTGCGTGAGAGGCATCAGCCCTCAACTGTATTTATTTACCCACAAGAATTACCATTCAAAGGATACTCGGTTTGCAGCTACACACCACAAATACAGGGGGAGAAAAATTAACAGAGGGGAAAAAAAAAAAGATACTGCAGCCCTTTAACCGTCATCCGACACAACACTGCTGTAGCGGGGTGCTCATGCAGCCCTTGCTGTTTTACTGCAGCAGCAACAGAGTGGCGATGCGTACAGAACTATGAGCTAAAGGTGAATTACGTGAAGCTGACATCGCTTGTGTGTTTGGAAAGCCAGAATAACGCGGCTAGAGCGGACAAAGCGAAGGAGAAGGCGGGCTGAACGCGATCAAGTCTGTATAGTGCCATCACCCTACCAAAGCCCGCAACTGCCGAGCGCTCGGCGCCGGCTCTGCGGCTGCAGGAGCAGCGAGCCAGCCCGGCAGAGCCGCCCGGCGGGCACGGCGCCGCGCCACCCCCGGAACACCCGCTGCCCGGGGCGGGATCTCTGCTTCCCGCAATGCAGCACCGGGATGCTGCGGGCAGCGCTCCCCGCCACACGGGGACGTACCGCGACCCCGCGGGGCTGCGCGGCGGCTCGGCCGAGCTCCGCAGCCGCCGGAACACTGAGTGCGACAGCTCCGTTAAGGTGCCGGGGCACCGGCGGGCGGCGCGGCAGCTGGGACGGCGCGGCTCGCACGGGCAGCGCCGCAATGGGCGGGCTGAGGCGCACAGACCGGCGCCTGCCCGCCGGCTGGCGCGGGATGCCCGGCCCGTGAAATGGCGGTGAGAGGCCAAGGGGAGCGCGCCGCCGGGACGGGACGGGGCGAGAGGACGCCTGGGGTCCCGCTCCTACCTGCGGCCGCCGGGCGCCGGTGCTCCCGCCGCCATCTCATACCTGCCGCTCCGCCTGCCCATTGGCCCGCCGCACCACCCCCTCGGCCCCGCCCCGCCCGCGCTGCGCCACGCCATTGGCTGCGACCGGCACCGCCCCGCCGCTATTGGCCGGTTTGAACGGGCAACGGCCGATCCGCGCGCACGAGGGGGCGGGTGTGGGGGAACGGCCGCGGGTGCGGCGCGCAGCCTGCTGGGAGTTGTAGGCCGGCGGCGCAGGCCTTCGGCGCTGCCGCCACCCCTCCACTGCAGGGAAACCCACACCGGGCCTGGCGGACCTCGAGCCGGCTCCAAGAAGCACGAGTTACACCATAAACCGCAATTCCCATCTCGGCTTGAGTGTTCTTATCACCGCTCTCCATCAAGGACAAATAGAGAACACAGCCACTGGAAGAGCAGTTTTATTCCCTGTTTTTCCCCTCTGTGGGTGAAAGTGCCTGCAGTGCTCACAGCCAGGGTCTCTCTGGCCCTCTACACTTGCTGCACCTGCAGTGCTCAGGTAGCAACGACAGAAAGAGAACTTGGAAACAACTGAAACTCTAGATTGGAGTGCTGAGGGACTATGAATTAATGTAATATTTTTTTAATTGACTAGGTTTCAGCTGGAGTGGTCCCTTGGCATTTTAAAACTCCACACTTAATTATCTTGCTGCCAATCATTTCAGCTCAAACACCAAAGCTCCTTTTACACTGCTGTCCCCAGGAGGGTTTTCCCATCCCTGCACAATGTGGGTGAGGAATCCCAACTCTGAATGGGGAACCCCGAAAAGCGCTGCAGTGTGCTTCGAGGATGGGGTGGTCCATCTGGCACAGCCCCATGGGGCACATCTGCCCCCAATTTTAAGCTTGAAGAATCAGGGTGGGCATTTGCAACTGTTCCAGCCAGGACTGGGGACAGCGTGTTAGTCCTGCCAGCCTCTCCTCAAGCTGGTATCTGCAAGGGTTGAGAACCCTTTGTGACAATGTCATGGCTAAGTGTAGCTCAATACTAGTACCTCATGCTTTAAGGGGCTCCTGGGTGAAGAAACAGCCTTCAAGGCACCTCCCAGCTTGAGCAGCAAAAGCCAAGCATGTCTCCAGGCTCCCGGTCCCCAGCTTGTGCCTCTCCATGAGTAACTGCAAAGCAGCTGTGGCAGGCAGCTGCAGGAGGCACGACCCCCACCACCCCTCACCTGCCCCATGTCAGAGACGTGCTCAGGCTCCTGAGGGTCCCCAAGCTGCAGCTCTGCTCCCTGCCAGGGGCAGCTGCTGGTGGGGAGCAGGCTTGACTCACAGCCAGCCTTCTCAGGCAGGATGACATCTCCTCACCGAGGTTTCCATTGCATTACATGATTAATTAGCTGATTAACAAGATGTTGTTGCAGTAGAATCCGTTCTCTGGACTCTGGCTCAGGTGAACACCATCCTCTGTGCTAGTAAAACTCTTCTGTTCCATGCAGGCATGTACTAATTGAAGCAACAACATGCAAATAAAGAACAATAGAGTGAGTAAGCTGGAGCTCCCAAATAAATTAGCTACAGCCTCCTCCAGGCCCTGTCCCCAAGGAGAGAAGGGAAAGCAGGAAGACAGACAGCTCTGGTGGGTCTAGAGCCTCAGGTTACAGGTGTTGGTGTCTCAGAAGGTGACTGCTGCCTGTCTCCCCCTGTCCTGCTCTCAGGGGGCCCATCATCAGGCCCATGCTGCAGGCAGCAGAGGAAGATGGTGCAGTGCCTGGTCACAAGGTGCTGCTGGAGAAGCCTGCTCCTGTAGGCCAGGCTGTGAGCTGCCTTCTGGCAGGACGAGCAGCAGCACCTCAACTTGGCCCTGGAGCTCAAGGGTCCCACTGAGAGCACACAGGGACAGCACACAGGGAACAGCATTCCAGACAAGGCTCGACCAGTGTCAATACAAGAGCTCCTCCTCCATCCCAGGCTTTTAAAAGGATCTTGGGGGAAAAAAAAAAACAAAAAACCCAAGCATAAGAAAGCCACAAAACTGAATTTGCAGCCTCCAGAAAGAAGCCTGCAGTAAGAGGCTGAACAAGAACAATCCCTTTAGCTTATTACAGAACTGAGAAGCGTTGCAATTGCAGCATGTAAGCTGCCACAATAGGAAATTACAGAGGGCTGAAGGCTTTTTAATATGAAAGAGGAAGGGAAAGCCATCTACATTCACCAACACACGTTCTTTGCAGTGTGAGCAAAGGGACCGGTATCCACTACCCTCAGCCCTGCTCTCTTCAGCACACTTTGGCTAAACACCATCTTTTTCACTCAGCGTAGAAGTAGCTGAGCAAAACCTGATGCTCAGCCCAATGTGACAGGGCTGAGCAGCTAAAAAGGTTCAGGATTAGTCATGCTGCTCAGGTCTAGCTGGCAGGAAGTGGCCAGAGCAAAGGACTTCTCTCAGCTCTCAAAGTAAGAGAAATGGCAAGGCACAGAGGTTTGCTGTAGCAGTTTTCCAGCCAGTTTGAAGAAATTTGCAGCGAACTGTTTCTGCCCTGCCATTAGGCATGGCTGATATGGGGAAAGTGTCCAGCGGTCAAATGGCAGTCACTTTCTGCTTGGCACAGATCCCCTGGCCATGGTTTTGGGCAGAAGAGTCTGCCAAGGAATTTGGTAAAGAAAGCTGATTGTAAGGACTTCAGCCTCTCTGGCTTTGTTCTAGGGCAGCTCCACATCTCAGCCCTACTGCACATGTGCCCCACTGCTCTGTGCCACAGTGCTGCTCCTGGCAGCCTCCAGGCAAGCCCAATGTGGGAGAGAGAGCTCTGGCCCCAGGTCCAGGCTGATGCTGGTGTGAGCCCTGCAGGATGCAGCCCTGCAGCGGCAGAAGGACCCGCTGCACATGGACAGAAGGCACAGCACAGTTATGTAAGATCTGCAGGGAAGGAGAGGAGGAATCTGGGCCGGGTAAGAACAGAGGATATTTATCAATACAGAGAATTCTTTACATATTACTTGCTCTCACACACGCACACCCATGCCTGTGCCAGGCACAGAAGGGCCATTAGTCCATAATACATCCAAGTGGTGTCCCAGGGAGTCTCAAACAAACGGAGGTCACCTTCAAGAGGACCCCAAGCTGTTCCACTCGGAGGATGCCGTGTCCTTGGGCAGGGGCAGGTGGAACAGCGGAGCGGTCTCAGGAGCGCTGGGACTTCAGACGGTTCCTGCGGCCGGCCTTGGCCCCGCGCTGCGCTCCCTTCATCAGGCCCTTGAACTGGCCCTGCATTTTCGCCCGCTTCCTGCAGGGAGCAAGGAGCAGGAAGCTGGTTTGGTGCAGGCACTGGACACACCTAACGCATGGGGATGCTGCTCCAGACTCCGCAAGGAGTGGCACAGCAGATGACAGGGAGCTGCCAAACCCACCAAAAAAAACCCTAACAAAATGCAGGATCAAACCCATTCCCACTCCTGTGCCCTTCCTGGTTAGTCTCACCTTCTGTTGAGTTTAGCTCTGTTCAGGGGGATGTAGGCATAGGGGTCAAGTTGGCCCTTCTTCTTTACGTCACCTTTACCTTTCTGTGGGAGACAGCGACATGAGAGAAGATGCAGCACCAGGGAAGATGCATGTGTCCCCTTCCAGTGCAACCCTGAGACCTGACTATCCCAAAGACTGTGTTGCAGTGGGGTGCCAGCTGAGCACACTGCCCTGGGAGCTGATTTCCTACCAACATGTTGCTACAGACACCTGCTTTGAGCAGGGAGCAGGAACTGTCCATGGCAAGGACAGGACACAAACTTTGAAATGGGCTGACAGTGCTCAGAGATACCGAGTGTTTGGCAACTCCTCTTGGAGCAGAGATCCCCTCCAACCTTGGTGCTACAGGACCAGACTCCCAGTAAAAATGATGCTTCCTGCCCCAGCAAAGTCCAAGCATCCCCACAGGCAAAGCCTGCAACCCCATGGGTCCCTCACCTTGGATCTATACGCTGCACCAAAGGCTGGCTCCTTGTTCAGCGGCCGATGGATCCCAGAGCCTCCAGCTGGAAAAGAGAATGTGTATTGGAAATGTGCATTAGGAAGAGCATTGCCAGCAGGTCAAGGAAAGGGATCCTGCTCCTCTAACTCAGCCCTAGTGAGGATGCACCTGGAATGTTGTGCCCAGTTCTGGGCTCCTCAGTGTAAGAGACACATGGAGCTCATGGAGCTGGTCCAGTGGAGGATTAAGGGTCTGAAGCATCTCTCTTATGAGGAAAGGCTGAGAACTGGGCCTGTTCAGACCAGAAAAGAGGCACCTAAAAGGGGACCTCATCAATGTCTGTAAGTATCTGAAGGGAGGGTGTGAAGAGGATAGCACCAGGCTCTGCTTGCTGCTGTTGGGCAACAGGACAAGAGGCAATGGCAGAAAGTGATGCACAGCAAGTTCCACCTGAACATGAGAACACATGTTCTTTGCTGTGTGGGTGACTGTGCACTGGAACAGACTGCCTAGAGAGGCATTCTGGAGTCTCCCACAATGGAGATATTCAGGAACCATCTGCATGCAATCATGTGCCATGTGCTCTGGGATGACACACAGTTCTGGCCCTCTGGGGAGTCCCAGACTGGGCACAGGCAGAGGACTTACCTCTATACTGAGAACAGGTTCCAGCCTCAGCTTCCTCATCGTCTGGCTCCTCTCTGAACCGACGCTTCTGACTTTTCTTCTGCAGAAAAAGACAGCAGGAACCCTGCAGCTGGCTTGGCCTTACAGTTCTGCCCTCCCATCCACCCCCAGCCTCCTGCATCCTCCCACAGGCACCGAGAGACTTTCCAGACAGCACATCCCCATCCCAGACAACTTCCTGCATCCCTCCAAGCAGCTGGCAATTGCCTGGTGTCCCCACTGGCCTTCTGGGCAGAGCTGCAGCTGCCATGGCACAGGCAGCAGTTTGGCAAGGATGAGTTCCCTCAGCATCTCCTCAGGACCACGAGCCCCATACTCACACTGCGGAGCCCCACATCTTGCAGCACATCTGCCATCTCCTCATCTGCTCCTGTGGTACAGGATAAGAAGGTCAGTGTGTGATGAGGGTATGGGAGAGCATTCCCCAAGATTCCACGTGCAGGTGGCAGGATGAAAACCATTCAGAGACCCAGAGCAAGTCTAGAGTGGCCCCTGTCAGCCCAGGTAGTACCTTTGGCTTCATCATCATCCAGCTCCTCTTCCTCTTCATGGATGATCAGGCGTCCATCCTCAGACATCTGGAAATCATGGCTCACTCCTTTGGACCGCTTGGGGCCTGGCTTGGTGGCTGCTCACAGAGAAATGGGTCAGGGCCTGGAGAAGGATCCAATTCTGGGGGCAGCAACCCCCAGAGCCCCTATGCATTGCAGCAGCCCCTGCCCCATCTGTCCCACCCCAGCCTCATCTGAAGCTCCACTCCTTACCCAGCACCCGCTGGGACACATTAGGGTCCAGGAAGTTGAGTGGCTCATCATCTTCCCCTTCCTTCAGCCATGCCTGGCCCTTCTGCCGTGCTTGCTTCCTCCACTCCTTGCTCCGATGCCTTTCTTCCTCTTCCTCCTCCTCATCCTCTGAGTCAGCCAGGATCTCCTCCATACTGGTCAAAAGGTGGAGAGGATGAAGGAAAATGGATTAAGCCCAGGGGTGCACCCTGCCCCACAATGAAGAGCAGCCCTGGAGATGTCTCCAACACTTCTAGAAGCACCAGCTGAGCAGATGCAGTGCCAAGCCCCATGTGGGGGCTGCTCTTTCTTCACCCTGAGCCCATCTTCACCTGTCTCCTCTGGGCTGTGGTGGTGGTGCCTCCTCCTCATCCATATCCGCAGCTGCCTTCTTCAGGGCACGCTGCTTGCGGCTCCGGGATTCCGCCTTGCGGATGTTCACCAGTACCTTATGGTACTCGGCTGGCAGCAGCCCCTTCACCAGCTCAAAGCTGAGGAAACACACAGAGAGCAGTCAGCACCCACCTTCTCCTGCACTGCTTCCCAGAAAGCCCCCTCACCACCCCAGGAGACCCTGGCTTACCCGAACTTGCGGATGAACTTGATGAAGAGGTTTCGCAGCTTCATACGGAAGTGGCGTCTCATGTCATCCGAAAGGTTCCCCACAGCCTCCAGCTGTCAGGACAGAGACTCTCAAGACCACAGCACACCTGCCTTGGGGACCCAGCCTCCCAACCTTTATCTGCATGGCCACCTTGTTCACCCTGTTGCCATCTCTCCATGCCTGCCCCAGGTAAGGCCATGGGGAGGTGTCCATGCTTGGCAGTGCTAGTTCATGGGGCTTTTCTGGCACGTCTATGCCAGGATGCAGGAGAGGAGCCTCCTCGCTGCCATCTCAGCCACTGAGATCAAGGTTGTTTCCTTGGCTCCCAGGGAGAGTGCAGCTGGAGATGCTCCCGTCTGCCCAAGGCAGACACAGCTCTGCCCCACCACCCTCCTCAAGGCATCCCGTGCGTGATCTCACCATTGTCTGGACATGCTTGGCCAGGAGCTTGGTGTCCACCAGCAGCAGTGTGACCTTCAGGAATCCCAGGGCTGCCTTGACCACATCCCGAGTGCGGGAGGCCAGCAACAGGCAGATGTTCTGCAGGAGCTGCTCCACCACACTGAACTCCAGGTGATCTGCAACCATGGTGGGACTCAGCCACAGATGGCTTCCTCCTAGCACCCACCTCCCCAAAGGGCTCTGCCTCATCCCCCCCAGCCCTCCTGCTCACCTTTGAACTCGAAGAACAGGCGGGTCAGTGCCAGCACAGTGCAGCTGATCATGGTGACTGAGCCAGTGAGCCCCACGTAGATCAGGAGCAGGAACCGCTGCATAGCCTCTGCAAGAGGGGGATGACTCAGGGCCTGACTACGCTGTGTCCAGCAGCATCCCTGGACCATTTTAGCAGAATGCTCGGCATGGGTCTGACCTCCCTAGGGCCAGAGTGGCCGTGGGGCTGAGCAAGCAGAACAGAAGCTCACCTTCAGGGGTGGGTCCAAAGCGGATGAAAGCATGGCCCATCTCCACGAGCAGCATGAAGGCGTTCTTGCGGGCCCCCACTGACACCTCCTTGGTGCACAGGATGACCTGAGGAACACAGGCGTGTCACCACTGCTGCCACTACCACAGCCAGAAGCAGCCAGCTCGTCACAGGACCATGCTCACCTCTGGGACCAGGGCAGTGACAAAAGGCTCGTGCTCTGCAGATAGCTGCTTCACAATGTGGAACAGGCATTTCAGCCGTGGCTGGGGAAAGAAACAGACCAGCACTGGTACACCCAGGGACACACACCTGGTTACCCCTGCCACCCACCCCATCCCTTCCCTTCCAGCAGTGGCTGATCACCACCACCACAGCCCCTGTTCTCACCCTCTTGGCCGGGGACGCTGCGCTCTTGAGCGAGTCCAGCAGTGCTGTCTGTAGGTCCTGGAGGTGGGAGTGGACGAAGGCCTGGCAGGGAGCGTGGGGAGCAGCACACACCTCCTCCAGCACACGATACGCCTTCTTCTGCATGCTACGCTCTTTGCTCTGCAGGGACAGGCAACATGCTCCCACTGTCAAGGCAGCCCCTCACCATGGTGTCTGAAGGGACACCAGCACCCCACACCATCCAGCAGAGACCCATCCCTATGGCAGCTGCTCAGTCCCTAGGAGTGTGGGACCAAGCTGGCAGCAAGCAGAAGGTGCCCCAATGCAGCCCCAGCACCTCTCAGGGCTGAGGACCAACTCACCTGGAGGGAAGGCTGGATGGTACGGTACAAGGAGTCCAGGGACTGCTCATCAGCATAGGGTGCCATTGCCACTACCAGGTCTAGGATGGAG